TGTTTGTAACAGGTAAACTTCTCAATACATTCCTACATGTGAGGAATATAATGTCACCAGCAGGTACCCAACAGACTAATGTGTATTGGGGGGTAACAATGTGCTCACTTGCGCCCGCCCAGATGCCTCCCGCCCTCACCTCACCACCTCACCCACTCACTCACTCACTCACTCGTACAGCTGGGCGCAGATCCTGTTCATCTATTTCATCTTGTGAGTACCAGAAAGACGACAAACTTTAATCAGTAAAATATAAAATATTGATTCTGCGTGATATAAGCTTGGCAAATCTGTTCACCTGACACACAATATAAAAATGCTTTAAATAAATAGTTTCAGCGTCAGACCATTGATGGATGGCAGCCCGTGCACCATAATGTCTGCTCAATGGACCCTGCAGTTCATCTATCATGTCCTGTTTAGAATATGTATTTGGTATGAGTTATATATAAACACCACGATCGCACAGCTTCATATGTTGATTACAAGTGGTATGATTGATATACATATATTTTGTTAGTTTGCCAAAACAACACCTGTTGGTGGGAATGTTCATCAGGCTATGGGAGCCCCAACCCGAGGCAAAGACACAAGTGAGTCTCCGTTATTCACATCATGGTTGAGTGGTTTACTCCTCATAAACAAAATTACGATCTTTTTTTTTAAGTAACAATCATCAAAAGGAAATATTCAGTCATGATATACTGTTGTGAGGCAATGTCATGTTGGCTCCATGATATATACTGTCGTGAGGCAATGTCATGTCACACCATCATGATATATACTGTCATAAGGCAATGTCATGTTGGCGTCATGATATATACTGTCGTGAGGCAATGTCATGTCACACCATCATGATATATACTGTCATAAGGCAACGTCATGTTAGCATCATGACATACTGTCGTGAGGCAATGTCATGTTACAATGGTGTGAAACAATGCTATGATACATTAATTGTCATGATACAAATGTCATGTTCCAGTGTAATGATACGATGTCATGGCGCAATGTCATAAAGAATTACTCCTCCCGACTCATTGACCTATTTTCAATCAGAGGTCACATCAATAACCAATACATGGATAATGCTCCCTCTTGTATCCACCAAACCCCCATGGGATAGATTCATCAGAATTAGTTTCAACATTCCCTTTCAAGCCTAATGACACGACAGGCAAAAACAAAAAACTTTTACCAAATAGTGTGAAAAAATGTATATTGTTTTTCATTTTGATCACCGTATCCAATGAGCTGAATGTCTGCTCAATATGACCTGATTACCGTACTCTCCATATCATACCGTGCGTGCGTGCATGCATGTGTGTGCGCGATTTTAAAGTGCTAGCCCACTGAGATACCATGTCGCAGTTGAACATGAATACCCCAGTCAGATACAGTGTACTGACTGTAAGCCAACCAGTTTTGGCCCCTTAATGCTGAGCGCCAGACAGGGTAGCAACAAGTACTATCTCTTAATATCTTTTGGCATCAGGGATCAAACCCGAGACCTTCCGATCTCTGGATGGAAAGTGTAATGTGGCAGTGACTATATATAAGTGGGAAAACGCACGCCTCTTTCATCACACATTACATCTCTCATTACATCAAGACCAGCGGTTGTGTGAAGATCATTATTTTCATCCTGGGACTATTTTTTAAGCTTGACCATTGCTGCTAGGTGAATATTATTATGTTATTATACTGCCATTGAATTTGGTACTGCCATTGTCATTGCTGTGCAGTAATTTGTATTTATTTGTAAACCTAGTTATTTCATAATACAATTGTTAATAGTATACCATTTGTGGGTTGTTTGTTGGTTTCACACTGAATTCTTTTACATGTAGATGTATGGGATAAATGTTTCAATTTGGAAGTCAACACGTAACAAAAGTAAGAGATGGTTGGTGATGTTGCGGCATGAAGCTGCATAGGAAGACGCTATATCATGGCTGTCATGTCGATGTGACTAGTCTGTCACCGGAACACAACATCATAAAAGCTGACACACTGAAACTCATGTAAATACACCTAGAATAGAACATGTTGTGTCAATTTGGAAGTTTCATGAAACAATACAACAGTTCACGTCCAGATTATGTAAATGCTATGTAAATGTATCGTAATGAATCTTAAACTGAAGTCAAACTTTCACCCCAAACAAAACTACTACATATTAATCAAACAGGCAGGGACAGACATGGCTACTAGTCTACTAGTCTGAGACTCGTGAAGATGTTTTCTCACAAAATCTAGTTACTTTACAATAACCCTTAAATTGTCTACCATTGTTTAAGGTCCTGTTTATCATAAAATAGGAAAAAATATTTTGATATTTTTTAAGTGCTGCACAACCCCAATAGATATAAGTTTGCGTGCTGAGTTTCATGCCAATATTCCAGCTATATGACGGCGGTCTGTAAATAATCAAGTCTGGACCAGACAATCCACGCAATTGGGATACGATGAGATGCATCAACTAAGTCAGCAAGCCTGACCGATCCCGTTAGTTGCCTCTTACAAAAAGCATTGTCACCTCTATACAGAGTACAGAAGTACCCAGCTTTCAGGGATATGGAGTGACAATAGCTCAAATATACTGAACAAAATAAGTTAGGGGTCATGAAACAAAAAAGTTAGGGATCATGAAATATTTTATATACCATACACATATAAAGCTACAAAAAAATATTCCCCAAAATATTAATGATCACTAACTTTTTTTGTTCAGTATACATTTGAGCTGAACAGCTGAGGACTCGGTATCGTGTGCAGATCCTGCGAACACAACCCAGGTAGATGTCCACAACCCAGGTAGATGTCCACAACCCAGGTAGATGTCCACAACCCAGGGAGATGTCCACAACCCAGGTAGATGTCCACAACCCAGGGAGATGTCCACAACCCAGGTAGATGTCCACAACCCAGGTAGATGTCCACAACCCAGGTAGATGTCCACAACCCAGGTAGATGTCCACAACCCAGGGAGATGTCCACAACCCAGGTAGATGTCCACAACCCAGGTAGATGTCCACAACCCAGGGAGATGTCCACAACCCAGGTAGATGTCCACAACCCAGGTAGATGTCCACAACCCAGGTAGATGTCCACAACCCAGGGAGATGTCCACAACCCAGGTAGATGTCCACAACCCAGGTAGATGTCCACAACCCAGGTAGATGTCCACAACCCAGGTAGATGTCCACAACCCAGGTAGATGTCCACAACCCAGGGAGATGTCCACAACCCAGGTAGATGGTGGTGTAAAAACTAAAACTACAAAAACAATTTGATGACAGCACTTACTTTTGGAAACGTTCCTCCTTCACTTAATCCAAACTCCTTGAAGCGCCCAGCAAGGGCATGCTCCATTTTAACAACCTTGGCCTTGACCTCTGGGGAGTCTGGGTCGTGACCTGTTCTGACCCCACTCCCTGACCTCCGGTCACGTGATGAAGGTAACTGAAACAAAAATAGTTACAAATTCATAAAGCAATCATAACAAATTCAATATCATAATTACCCTTTGAAGATCACAGGGACAAATGTAATATCAATAATGAATCATATCGACTAGTTTCCATTTGCAGATCCTGAAGCATACAGAATTTGAAACAATCCCGTTCTCAGCTCCAGGATTCCATTCTCATCTGCTTCTCAACTCTAACATCTCATTCTCAGCTCTAGCATCCCATTCTCAGCTCTAGCGTCCCATCCTCAGCTCTAGCGTCCCATTCTCAGCTCTAGCGTCCCATTCTCAGCTCTAGCGTCCCATTCTCAGCTCTAGCGTCCTCAGCTCTAGCGTCCCATTCTCACCTCTAGCGTCCCATTCTCACCTCTAGCGTCCTCAGCTCTAGCGTCCCATTCTCAGCTCTAGCGTCCCATTCTCAGCTCTAGCCTCAGCTCTAGCGTCCCATTCTCAGCTCTAGCGTCCCATTCTCAGCTCTAGCGTCCCATTCTCAGCTCTAGCGTCCCATTCTCAGCTCTAGCATCCCATTCTCAGCTCTGGCATCCCATTCTCAGCTCTAGCATCCCATTCTCAGCTCTAACATCCCATTCTCAGCTCTAGCATCCCATTCTCAGCTCTAGCGTCCCATTCTCAGCTCTAGCATCCCATTCTCAGCTCTAACATCCCATTCTCAGCTCTAGCGTCCTCAGCTCTAGCGTCCTCAGCTCTAGCGTCCTCAGCTCTAGCGTCCCATTCTCAGCTCTAGCGTCCCATTCTCAGCTCTAACATCCCATTCTCAGCTCTAGCGTCCCATTCTCAGCTATAGCATCCCATTTTCATCTCTAGTATCGCATTCTTATCAGAGTGAGTGAAGTTTTATAAGACACCAACAATACACTTCACATATTGCATCCATCCATGAATGGGAATCAAACCCAATATTCAGCATGACAAGCACATGACTTAATGAATACTTGAACAAGAGGGCTACCCAACACCAACATGCCTGCATAAGAAATTCCTACGAAGGACAGTGCTTTCTTACTTAGCACAGCTGCATGAACTACAAACATATATTTCTCACTACTGCTGCTAGTCGTAGTGTCTGATGATCATTTGATGACATAAATATAATGAACTATCTCCAAATCCTAGAGGAATATGTTAACCTCACTCATAAGCATTCACATACAGAAGGACTCTCTTCCATTGCCAGTTCCAGACAGTCATTGTCTCAGTAATCAGGGTGATTGTCAACAGAGTAGTATAAATCTAAAACTGGATGTGACAAACAGGTTATTGAATGACATTATAAGATATACTATAGATTCTTTCCCATTTTAACTATTTTTTATTCAATTCAGTATATGATGTTAATTTTTTTCACATAAAGTAACATGACATTAACTTTAAACTTATTAGGTGTAGGCTACATACGTAGACAGCAGACAGCAAGTTATAGTTGTCAGGAGACAGGTGTACAATATCATGTCAACAGGTGGTGACACTGGCAGGCTGTTTGCCTTGCTTATTGAGGTCATCAATAACTATGTATGAAGGTAAGTCCTCACAGAGCATCAGTGGGAATTGTTCATGATCAAAATAGAGAGACATATTAACTGGACAGTTTATTTGCCAAATGTTTCCATTTTCTGTCAAACTGTCCTATATCTTGTTTTCACGGCACAGATTCATATTGTTTCAGTGTTATTTTACATATCACAGACTTGCCTACAAGGTCTTTCATCACATATTGTTTAGGTTTTTTCAAAAAATATTTCCTGTACTGCAATGTGATGTTGGAACAAATTAATTATGTGAATGGCTGCCATGTAGAGAAATATAGCATTAGGCGTGTCCCTTCAGTATGAAAGAAAAATATTTCTACATTTTCATAGTTGTTTTATGGCACATATAGTTTCTACTGTGCAGTACAGTGTGTGTGTGCGTGCGTGCGTGCGTGCGTGCGTGCATGCATGCGTGCATGAGTGTGTGTGTGTGAGTGAGTGAGTAAATAGCTGGATGAGTGAGTAGCTGAGTGAGTGAATAAGTGAGTGAGTGAAAGAGTGAGTGAGTGAAAGAGTGAGTGAGTGAAAGAGTGAGTGAGTGAAAGAGTGAGTGAGTGAGTGAATAAGTGAGTTTGTTCACATGTTGGTACCACATAGAAGAAGTCCTGTCTATGGGTGATAAAATTATGGAAATTTCCTGATGTCAATTGTCTCTCAAATGCACTGCCACTATGTAAAATCTTACAAAAACTATGCAATATTAAGCAAAACAAATCCAGTTCAAGATCTGATGATTTCTCTACTGCATAAAAATCTCTCCGAGCATAGAAATGTTTTGCTTGTATGATCCCCATATTTTGTCTAAAAACTGTTCCTAAGTGTGGAGACAGCCCACTGCTTATTGACAATGGCTGTGTTCTCAGCAACCCTACCTCCATACCCTAGCAATCTCAAGCCATCAACCACATATACAAAACCTTGCAAGTATCAATATCCAGCAGTTTATTTATGTGAGAATGCAATTACATTGTCAATGTGCTGTGGAAAATGCACCAATGACATAATAATAAACAAGGTCGCCTCTGGAAATGTTCTCCGCCTGCCCAGGTGTCGAGGGAAAGGAAAAAGTGGATCTCACATAAAACGGAAACTGGATTCAATTACCGTTGCTATAAAGGTTTCCCCGATGTCTGTGCGTCCGTGTAGAAAAGTCGAACTTGATATGCTTATAGTTTCAGTTCAACTGAAAATTGTGAATTTATTTCGAAAGTAGTGTTTCATTGGAAACCCATAAGTCATGAGTAGTCATGTAAGATTCAATATGCCTTCTGGGGTTAAATGAAACTTCAGTCTGTATTCACTGCATTCACAAACAGCACTGACACCTTGTACAAGATAATCTAGATTTAGTGGAAGCAATTAATGTAATTAGATTTTCCATAATCATGGAATGAGTGAGTGAGTTGGGTTTAACGCCGCTTTTAACAGTATTCCAGTTATACCACGGCGTGTCAGCTTAATGTGGGAGGAAAGTCCAAAGTGATGAAGGTCTCAGATGTTACCACTTCTGTGAAACCCACGAGCACGGGTATGGTGCTGACAAACCTAGAAACATAATCAGGGCGAACCTCGATTCAAACCCACAATGATAGGTTTCTGGCATGCCTAAGGGACTCTGCATAGCGAATCGCGGCGCCTTAGACGACTGGACCACCCGTGCCCCCTAATCATGGAGTGAGTGAGTGAGTGAGTGAGTGAGTGAGTGAGTGAGTGAAAGAATGAGTAAAAAGAGAATAGCTGGGTGAGTGAGTGAAGGGCTGAGTGAATAAGTGAGTGAGTGAAAGAGTGAGTAAAAGAGTGAGGGAAGGAGTGAGTAGCTGGGTGAGTGAGTGAGTGAGTGGGTGGCTGCCCCATCAGAAATTCTATAAATTTGTAAATGTATAAAGACAAAATGCCAATTTTGTGAAATGGATACAACACTGATATACACATTTCATAACAGAAATGGCTTCTTTATACTGGGACTGTGTTTACATTGCAAATGTTTGACACTGATGTAAACTGACAGCAGAATATTGTCCTTTGAAGATATCTAGAATGTGAGATTTGTATCCCTATAAACTCATGGCCTTTGTTGCAGGAGGAAGTAGTGTTGTATTTGATAAATGAAATTACAAGATCTGCAAGGGCAACCCGATGATCAGATGCATGTTTAGGTTGGAGGGAAATAACAGCGTTGTCATTGACTACAAGTCTAGAATGCCCAGTCTCTCTATCAAATACAAAATATCACCCCATTAAAAACTGGCTCATGATTGCCGACAAAAATAGCATTACTGCACTTCACTTCACAGCCAGGAAAAAATGCTGACATAAATAGTTTAAAAAAAAACACACCAGTAATTCTATCTGTAATAATTTTCACATTATCACTAGATCTCCAAGAGACATAATGCATTGACATTTATATAAACTTTGATTTCCAGTGACAAGTCCTATAAAATACTGAGCATGTTAAATAGTAGAATAGAAACCCGCATGACTGACCCACTGACGTATGTCACTACAAGGTGGTGACACACTCACCTATTTCGCTGGCACCTGCTGTTATTGATTAGAGTGTGCTCATATATATATACTACAATCTTATCCCATTTTTAGACCTTTCAATACATCTTTGCAGTGATAGCAAAATGTTCAGAAACTGTTGTCTTCATGACAAATATCTCCAGGCAGTTTACAGATGGTATGAACAAGAAGATGAAATGCCTGAAACTTGTGAACATCACGTGAGTGTAGTGCTCAGTGAACTGTGTCCCACCGGACAGATCGATGGAAGACAGCATGGCACACTGTTCCTCACTCGGGACAAGGGGTTTACATTACAAATACAGAAACAGCCAGGAATGAAGACATCCAGAACGTTACACTTGGTTGCTCTGATGATCAATGATGGTGTACGGCCATCACATGTCCTTTTGGCTGAGGGAGCAGATACTGTCTCCCTACAGACTATGTCTACTGTCTCCCTACAGACTATGTCTACTGTCTTCCTACAGACTATGTCTGCTGTCTTCCTACAGACTATGTCTGCTGTCTTCCTACAGACTATGTCTACTGTCTCCCTACAGACTATGTCTACTGTCTTCCTACAGACTATGTCTACTGTCTCCCTACAGACTGTGTCTACTGTCTTCCTACAGACTGTGTCTACTGTCTTCCTACAGACTATGTCTACTGTCTCCCTACAGACTGTGTCTACTGTCTTCCTACAGACTATGTCTACTGTCTCCCTACAGACTGTGTCTACTGTCTTCCTACAGACTATGTCTACTGTCTTCCTACAGACTATGTCTGCTGTCTTCCTACAGACTATGTCTACTGTCTCCCTACAGACTGTGTCTACTGTCTCCCTACAGACTATGTCTACTGTCTTCCTACAGACTATGTCTACTGTCTTCCTACAGACTATGTCTACTGTCTTCCTACAGACTATGTCTACTGTCTCCCTACAGACTGTGTCTACTGTCTTCCTACAGACTATGTCGACTGTCTTCCTACAGACTATGTCTGCTGTCTTCCTACAGACTATGTCTACTGTCTCCCTACAGACTATGTCTACTGTCTTCCTACAGACTATGTCTACTGTCTTCCTACAGACTATGTCTACTGTCTTCCTACAGACTGTGTCTACTGTCTTCCTACAGACTATGTCTGCTGTCTCCCTACAGACTGTGTCTACTGTCTTCCTACAGACTGTGCCTACTGTCTTCCTACAGACTGTGTCTACTGTCTTCCTACAGACTATGTCTACTGTCTCCCTACAGACTATGTCTGCTGTCTTCCTACAGACTATGTCTACTGTCTTCCTACAGACTATGTCTGCTGTCTTCCTACAGACTATGTCTACTGTCTTCCTAAAGACTATGTCTACTGTCTCCCTACAGACTATGTCTACTGTCTTCCTACAGACTATGACTATGTGAGTGAGTGAGTGGGCGAGTGAGTGGGCGAGTGAGTGGGCGAGTGAGTGAGTGGGCGAGTGAGTGAGTGAGCGAGTGAGTGAGTGGACGAGTGAGTGGGCAAGTGAGTGGGTGAGTGAGTGAGTGAGTGAGCAAGTGAGTGAGTGAGTGAGTGAGCAAGTGAGCAAGTGAGTGAGTGAGTGAGTGAGTGAGTGAATGGGTGGGAGGTTGAATGAGTGAGTGAGTGAGATGGCATGGGTTGTTGCTCATAATAGCAATCACTGGTTTGTCTGGTTCAGACTTGACTATCTACAGCCTGTATTACAAGCAAGGAGAGGACACTATGAAAGGAGAACCAGAGTTAGTGAGTGAGTGAATTGGGTTTTACTCCACTTTTAGCAACATTCAAAAAACCCTGGAAGGGGACATGAGAAATGGACTACACACATTAGGAGAATCAAACCCAGACCTTTGACCATGGCCATAAAACTTGGCCATGAAACCTACTTACAAATCTCTTTCCCCATCTGGGAAACTTGGCACGATGAAGGGCAGACACTGAGCATCAAAAAGGCCATGACAGCTTTATATAGAAACTAAGTTACACCCACTTGTGTTGAAACTTTGTTGACAACAGACATCTTATTTTGATAATACAACAATTTGCCTGCCCACAGGCCATGAATGCAGGGGGTAATATTTATAAATATTTATAACTTATCAAGTCCTTTGTTACACAGGCCACAATGACATTCTGACACAGCTGAGAGTTAACTCCCCTAGACGTCACATGTACATGGGGTATTTATACAAGATGAGGGTGGGGTTGTGTGTGGGGCGGGGTTGTGGGTGCTGATGAGGGTGGGGGAGAGGTTTGGGATGGGGATGAGGGTGGGGATGAGGGTGGGGATGAGGGTGAGGGTGGGGATGAGGGTGAGGATTGGCTGAGGTCTGTAATTTTGTGCAAGCTCCCATGTTACGTGATTGGGTGGGGGTGACTATTGTATACAGTACCACCTGTACAAGCTCCCATGTTAGGGGATACAAACTATGAATGAGAAACACAAACTTGCTAAAGTCACTTATGAAGATGAACCAACACATATTCGAGAACCACGACCAGTGAGTTTCACCTTTAATAACTTATAAAAATTCTTGTTTTAACCATAAAACCTGCATTTAATCTACAACACCTGGAAGGAGATTCATCAACGGTGTAATCGTATGACAAAGTAAAACCACTTTATTCATGTTGGTCAAAGAATGTGACATGTGACGGCTGAAGGCACATTTCGGACCCAGTCAACATTTTGCCTGCCAGTTCTAGTGCCAGTGCCACTCCCTCATCCCCATCAACGACTTCATTAACACATTAAGGCAGGTGTAAGCTGCTCTGCCCATGTCACGATGACCTTGTTATCTATTCTTGTAGATAATGTCAGTGAGTTATTATTCATAGGGATTCGCAATTTCGGAAGAGGGTTAAAATTTCTGTGGAGATTTCTTTTTTTCTTATCAGCCCCATGAGCTGGTCAATTAACACCATATTAGCATAAACCATACAGCAAAAATGATATCTTCAAGTTGGTGAGTCATGATTGACCGATATATCCTGTGTCCGAAATTACTGCCTGCCCGCCTGCCCGTGGCTGATAACTTTTCTGTCGGGCTGCATGAAATTTTCCTCAACCTGCCCGACTGTCTGGCAGATAACAATTTCAATTTTATTATAACTCCTAATTCCCAAGTGATTGTTTGCATTATTTAAACTGAATCAAGTCTTAGTTTTCACGATTTTTTAATATATATAATGTCTGACTGCAGGCAGGTAACTTTGAAGATGGGCAGGTAACACTTATGGGTCACCTGCCTGACTGTCTTTTGGGGTTTAAAATTATTTCAAACACTGGGTATATCGGTAAATCATGACCCACCAACTAGAAGATATCATTTTTGCTGTATATTTGGTTTATGCTAATAAGTTGTTAATTGACCAGCTCATAGGGCTGATAAGAAAAAGAAGAACCCCACTGAGATCAGCTGCTAGTGTTCTGGCTAGCACAGCCTAAACCCACTGAGAACAGCTGCTAGTGTTCTGGCTGGCACTACCTAACCCCACTGAGAACAGCTGCTAGTGTTCTGGCTGGCACAGCCTAACCCCACTGAGAACAGCTGCTAGTGTTCTGGCTGGCACTACCTAACCCCACTGAGAACAGATGCTAGTGTTCTGGCTGGCACTACCTAACCCCACTGAGAACAGCTGCTAGTGTTCTGGCTGGCACTACCTAACCCCACTGAGAACAGATGCTAGTGTTCTGGCTGGCACTACCTAACCCCACTGAGAACAGCTGCTAGTGTTCTGGCTGGCACTACCTAACCCCACTGAGATCAGCTGCAAGTGTTCTGGCTGGCACTACCTAACCCCACTGAGAACAGCTGCTAGTGTTCTGGCTGGCACTACCTAACCCCACTGAGAACAGCTGCTAGTGTTCTGGCTGGCACTACCTAACCCCACTGAGAACAGCTGCTAGTGTTCTGGCTGGCACTACCTAACCCAACTGAGAACAGCTGCTAGTGTTCTGGCTGGCACTACCTAACCCCACTGAGAACAGCTGCTAGTGTTCTGGCCTGCACTACCTAACCCCACTGAGAACAGCTGCTAGTGTTCTGGCTGGCACTACCCAACCCCACTGAGTGTTGATGCAGCATTATTTTACTAATTTACTAACTTATTATCTAATCACACATCATGTGACAAAATTATATATATATATGTTATACATCCCAAATGCTTGTTCAGCATACCATATATACCCTATTCTCATAATATTGTCTAAGTTGTGTAACAAAGGCTGATTATTACTTTTCAAAACTTTTTAAAGAATATGTTATTTTAACACTAATACACGATCCCGATGAATAAAAGACGTGGTACAAATATTGATCAAGACTAAAAATTGGTGGACAAAATGAGGTGCCGATAACTAAGACAATTTACGGAACTATTCCCAAGGCTGCAGAAAGAGCCACATTGTGTATGTATGGTATTCAGACAGACAGCATGGTGCAGGGCTGCAGTGAAACTGGTGTCCAACTTATCAACTGTAGGGGCAATATCAAGCCTGGACACAGACAGGTCCCTCCCTGTAGGGGCAATATCAAGCCTGGACACAGACAGGTCCCTCCCTGTAGGGGCAATATCAAGCCTGGACACAGACAGGTCCCTCCCTGTAGGGGCAATATCAAGCCTGGACACAGACAGGTCCCTCCCTGTAGGGGCAATATCAAGCCTGGACACAGACAGGTCCCTCCCTGTAGGGGCAATATCAAGCCTGGACACAGACAGGTCCCTCCCTGTAGGGGCATATCAAGCCTGGACACAGACAGGTCCCTCCCTGTAGGGGCATATCAAGCCTGGACACAGACAGGTCCCTCCCTGTAGGGGCAATATCAAGCCTGGACACAGACAGGTCCCTCCCTGTAGGGGCAATATCAAGCCTGGACACAGACAGGTCCCTCCCTGTAGGGGCATATCAAGCCTGGACACAGACAGGTCCCTCCCTGTAGGGGCAATATCAAGCCTGGACACAGACAGGTCCCTCCCTGTAGGGGCATATCAAGCCTGGACACAGACAGGTCCCTCCCTGTAGGGGCATATCAAGCCTGGACACAGACAGGTCCCTCCCTGTAGGGGCAATATCAAGCCTGGACACAGACAGGTCCCTCCCTGTAGGGGCATATCAAGCCTGGAAACAGACAGGTCCCTCCCTGTAGGGGCAATATCAAGCCTGGACACAGACAGGTCCCTCCCTGTAGGGGCATATCAAGCCTGGACACAGACAGGTCCCTCCCTGTAGGGGCATATCAAGCCTGGACACAGACAGGTCCCTCCCTGTAGGGGCAATATCAAGCCTGAACACAGACAGGTCCCTCCCTGTAGGGGCATATCAAGCCTGGACACAGACAGGTCCCTCCCTGTAGGGGCAATATCAAGCCTGGAAACAGACAGGTCCCTCCCTGTAGAGGCATATCAAGCCTGGACACAGACAGGTCCCTCCCTGTAGGGGCATATCAAGCCTGGACACAGACAGGTCCTTCCCTGTAGGGGCATATCAAGCCTGGACACAGACAGGTCCCTCCCTGTAGGGGCAATATCAAGCCTGAACACAGACAGGTCCCTCCCTGTAGGGGCATATCAAGCCTGGACACAGACAGGTCCCTCCCTGTAGGGGCAATATCAAGCCTGGACACAGACAGGTCCCTCCCTGTAGGGGCATATCAAGCCTGGACACAGACAGGTCCCTCCCTGTAGGGGCATATCAAGCCTGGACACAGACAGGTCCCTCCCTGTAGGGGCATATCAAGCCTGGACACAGACAGGTCCCTCCCTGTAGGGGCATATCAAGCCTGGACACAGACAGGTCCCTCCCTGTAGGGGCATATCAAGCCTGGACACAGACAGGTCCCTCCCTGTAGGGGCATATCAAGCCTGGACACAGACAGGTCCCTCCCTGTAGGGGCATATCAAGCCTGGACACAGACAGGTCCCTCCCTGTAGGGGCATATCAAGCCTGGACACAGACAGGTCCCTCCCTGTAGGGGCATATCAAGCCTGGACACAGACAGGTCCGTCCCTGACTGTGGCCTTCTGCGTTGCCCAGAGTTCAAGTTCACTGACATACCTGAAATACTGATCACCTCATTATGACTCTATAAAAGGGCCTCGAGTTCACTGGAAGCTACAGTCACAGAGCTGCTTTCCAAAGTACCTTTGCTTTACATATATAGGATCGCTTTCCAAAAAACATTTGCCTTATAAATACAAGGTGTGTTTTTTCAAAATACAGGGTTGCTTTTCAAAATAGATGGGCTTTACATTTAATGAGTTGTTTTCAAAAAATATTTGCTTTACAAACTACAGTCACTTTTAAAAATGCTTTTGCTTTACAAAATTCAGAAAGCTTTTCAAAATACAGAATTGCTTTTCAAAACAGATTTGCTTTACAAAACACAGTTGCTTTTCAAAGTAGAGCTACTTTATAATACATAGCTACTTTTCCAAAAAGATTCACCAGAGAAAATAGAAGCGCTTTTCAAAATACATACTCCCCTCTAATTATCAGCAAATCTTACCTGCATGACAAAAAACTCACCTTCAGTGAAAGGGGTGATATGTCTACAACAACAAGTTCACCCACCACAGAGGTCAGAGGTCAGAGGTCAGTTATATCTAATTAACTGAAAGCCCTAATTGCAACAGACGTCCCCAGCCTGCAAGGCTGTGCAGTACAACTGACTTCTACACAGGTCGGAGCCCAAATGTCAACTCTCAACTTCTAATACAACTTGTGGATTCCTACGGCGTCCATATGTTGAAAAGTTTTGTGATGATTTAAATAACATTCACCAAAATCTTCAAATTTCAAGTTTTATTTGTGGTACAAATTTATCATCCGTTTCTGGCAAAGTCAATTGATCTATCATAAATACATCTGAAACAGCTAAGCGACTTTGAAGTCATTTTCAAGAACATCAAATAAAGTCATGATTCCCTCTGATAAATCTGGAAAGACACAAAAAATTCTTTTCACATAGAACTTTACGCTTCTCCAACATATCCAATTTAGCATTTGATGAGAAACATCAGTAATCTACTATCATGAAAAATATCAAGATTTCTTTGAACTTTGAATGCTCTATCTCGGACTTGGGAGGGATAACTGCCCTCCATCTGTCATTCAACCCTAACAGGTTCCGAACCACAGCTTTTAACATACTTCTGTGACACTTGAAGATATGTGGATAAACCTATCACACGCTCTGAGTACTCATGTTCCATTAGGATCCCGTCATGTCCCCCTTGTCAGACGGCTCATGACCCCTGACCTCTCCATGATAGTTAGAAGGTCATGGAAAGGTCAAGTGACCAATGGTCAAGTGCAGTAAGTTGACCATTACTCCTGATTTTAACATAGTATCAGCCACTCCATCAAAACCCTGTTAGCTCTATTCAAACGCCTGGCCATAATTTGTCACACAAGCGGGGCAATTACTCTCCTTAGCCACAGAGCCAGACTAAATACAAACAAATTGAGGTATTTATCAAATAAGCTTTATATTTATTGAAAACATTGTAAATTAACTTAATGCTCCATGTTTCCAGCTTATTTACACATAATTTATACATTCCACAGTAAATAACAAATCTTGAGAAGCAATGACTGCCAGACGGGTACACTTCAGCTAGGAGCTTAATCTTTAACATACACATCTACACGATGTTTAATATCACAGCAGGAGCAAAACACTTCATTGGATTCTACTTGCAAAAATTGTCATTTGACTTCATTTTCAGAAGATACTGGTGTCAGTATATGGACTTATTAGGATATGGACTTATTAGGATATGGACTTAGTAGTATATGGACTTAGTAGTATATGGACTTAGTAGTATATGGACTTAGTAGGATATATGGACTTAGTAGTATATGGACTTAGTAGGATATGGACTTAGTAGGATATGGACTTGGTAGTATATGGACTTTTTAGGATATGGACTTAGAAGTATATGGACTTAGTAGGATAGGGACTTAGTAGGATATGGACTTAGTAGTATATGGACTTAGTAGTATATGGACTTAGTAGGATATGGACTTAGTAGTATAGGGACTTAGTAGGATATGGACTTAGTAGTATATGGACTTATTAGGATATGGACTTAGTAGTATATGGACTTAGTAGGATATGGACTTAGTAGTATAGGGACTTAGTAGTATAGGGACTTAGTAGTATATGGACTTAGTAGGATATGGACTTAGTAGTATAGGGACTTAGTAGGATATGGACTTAGTAGTATATGGACTTAGTAGTATATGGACTTAGTAGGATATGGACTTAGTAGGATATGGACTTATTAGGTTGGTTGGTTGGTTTGTTGATTAACGCCGCACTCAGCAATATTCCAGCTATATGACGGCGGTCTGTAAATAATCAAGTCTGGACCAGACAATCCAGTTATTAATATCATGAGCATTGATCCACACAATTGGCGAGCCTGACCACCCAATCCCGTTAGTCGCCTTTTACGACAAGCGACTAACGGGATCGGGTGGTCAGGCTCACTGACTTGGTTGATGCATGTCATCGATCCCAATTGCGTGGATCGATGCTCATGATACTAATCACTGGACTTATTAGGATTAGACTTGGTAGTATATGGACTTTTTAGGATATGGACTTAGTAGTATATGGACTTATTAGGATATGGACTTAGTAGTATATGGACTTAGTAGGATATGGACTTTGTAGGATATGGACTTAGTAGGATATGGAGTTTTTAGATGAGCCTACAGGAAAGATATATACTAAATTTGGGTTTCAGACGAGAGGTTCATATAGCTGAGTGAGTGAGTGAGTGAGTGAGTGAGTGAGTGAGTGAGTGAGTGAGTGAGAGAGAGAGAGTGAGCGAGCGAATGAGTGAGTGAGTAAATGAGTGAGAGAGAGAGAGTGAGTGAGTCACTGTGTGTGTGAGAGTGAGTGAGTGAATGAGTGAGTGAGTGAGTGAATGAGTGAGAGAGTGAGTGAGTGAGTCACTGTGTGTGTGTGTGTGAGAGTGAGTGAGTGAGCGAATGAGTGAGAGTGAATGAGTGAGAGAGTGAGCGAGAGAGAGTCACTGTGTGTGTGTGTGAGAGTGAGTGAGTGTATGAGAGTGAGTGAGTGTGTGCATGTGTGAGTTAGTGAGTCACTGAGTGAGTCACTGAGTGAGTGAGTGTTCCTCAAAATCATGCTTTGCTTGCCATAAAAGAAATTCATGTGATAATGAGAAACCTTGTACCAAGGTATTTGACACTAATAGCGCCCACTCCTAATGCCCTACATCCAGGGGTATAAACATCTATATCATCCTGCCATAACTCAACAGCTGTATCATCATCTGGAACTATCATCAATATATGTGTCTCCGCTTCCTATAAATGCCAACACCTTCTTTTCACAACCAGTAGTGTTTAAATTGATAATAAGATTGCATAACTATCAAAACCAAAATTCCTCAATTACAGTTGTCAAATTTCTTGCCTCTGTTCCAAAACAGAATGATTTTGCGATAAAATGAAACAGGGCTATCATTTATAAATTACAATCAAGGCTTTTATCCATAACTATTATCATATATGCATGACAGAAGAAATTGTTGTCACATTTTGTAAAAACATGGAATTTTAAACCCAAACCAGAATCATACAACAATGGTGATTTATTTCACTTTATGGCGACATTGTGAACACTGATTTTAGCCAATCCTTCCATCAGTTGTAACTTACTGGGCATGTCATTCCTGTGTTTCAGGCAGCAGCTAAGTCCTCAACAGATATAGAATGGAAAAGAGGTCACTATATTTTGTAGGACATACAAGTATCTGCAGGGGTAAAATGAATTTGAAGGTTGTTAATGAACTGATGGCACAATTTAGTTACTGGATTTGTTTGTTTGTTTATTTGTTGTTTAACGCCACACTCAGCAATATTCCAGCTATATGAAGGCGGTTTGTAAATAATCGAGTCTGGACCAGACAATCCAGTGATTGATATCATGAGCATCGATCCACACAATTGGGATTGATGACATGCATGAACCAAGTCAGCGAGTATGACAACCCGATCCCATTAGTCGCCTCTTACGACAAAAATAATCACCTTTTACGGCAAGCATGGGTTGCTGAAGACCTATTCTACCCCGGATCTTCATGGGTCTAGTTAATGGAAATATGTATGAAGACACAATGTCATTTGGAAATATGTATTTACTAACTTGTGTTTTTAATTCATTTAGACAATTTTAAACTTTAAATCAGGGAAAAATTTATATTTTTAGAAACTGACACTTGTTTGATTTGTAAACAAAATAAACCTGTGATATGAGAGATTTACTGGCGACATATCCTTGATAAAGATGAATTTGGATAGGTCATTCTACTCATAAAAAACCCCAAAATGTTTGTTATAAACCAATATGATAGCCTTGCTTCAGTTAATGTAAGGTAAGACTCCAGGTAGAATCAGTTCCTTTAGCTTAACATTAATCTTGGATGTATCATACACTGAATGTAATCATGCTTGTTAACAACATAACGTACAATGTAATATAAATCGTCACACACGGTTGACAATTTAAAACAGCAATGCTCTACACTCCATCAGGTGTTGCGTATAGTGCTGGACAGATTTTCAGCCTCTACTATACCAGCTGACCCTGCTTATGGTGTGAAGACATAATCACTTCTTGTCCACACTTACTCTCCAACCAAATATAAATAAAGCATTACACATAGTGAAACACTTAATACAATTCTTTATTACGCAGTCATCAATTTCAAATGCCACGACAGCTATTATAATGCCGAAATCAATGCCGTCATATCATATAACAAGAGTGCATAACAGCTAAATCTCCAAATTGATTTTACAAACTCCCAGACAGGTAAGGGCGATGAATTATGGGTTCGGTGGAAGATTTTATTCGCAGAGGAAGGAAAACCTTATGAGGAGATGCACTGACCAAACCTGTTAAAGATCAAGAACTAAAGATGCATGTCAATTGACTGAGCCAAGGGATTAATTTCCACGAGACGTAAGTTTTATGTACATGTTAAATCTACATGAAAACAAAACAGACTGACTGGCCTTATGCCAAGCAAGCCTCACGAGGAGGTATGACTAGACTTGCACAAGTCTCTGAGGCAATAATTATTAATTTAAATCATAATTTCTAAATTATGTAAATAATAAGAACAAGCTGTCCCTATAAGAGACTGGAGTCCTTGTACTGTCCACATATCTAGACTTGCCTATTAGGAGGATAGAATTACTACACATCCATGGACATTTCTTTCAGTACAGCCTTGAAGCAAGGCTAAGATTCTACCTCTGATAGTGGGTTCCTGTGCCAGTGGAAGTGGAGATACTGTGCCCAGAAATCAACCTGGGACATCTTCACCATAATTACACGCCTCCAAGTGAGCATCTATCATATGATCTCCGACAACACCATTTGGACTAGACCTGCGAGACTGGTGTTTACCCCTGTTGTAAGACGGCCAGTCTGTGATCAACTCAATGAGGGAGCGAGTGGATCGAGAATCAGTTTGAAGTGTGTTTCACGAAGCAGTGGGACGACATATCGATGCATTGGTGGATCGCGATTTTTCACTTCTTGATACAAGTATCGGTCACAATTGCACACTAAGTAAAAAGTATCAGTTCTAACCTTAAATGTATTCTTTAATAAATGTTACTCCAAACACTAATAACAGTGAAAATGAGTTGTAAAAATGTAAATATTTTCATCCATTGCGCCATACTTGACAATGCCAATAGTAAATTGTTAGTGTGCCCGGTATTTGGCCATCCTGTTGATTTAAAAAGGTGGCTTACACATCACCGATAAGAGCATGTGCAAGTATTGTGATACGTATCGGATCATGGGCAAGGTATTGTGATACGTATCGGATCGTGGGCAAGGTATTGTGATACGTATCGGATCGCACAGTTGGTGTATTGTCCTAGCCCTAGTTTCACGTATATAATGTCTGTTGTTGTTTACCTCATAGGGGTAAGCCATGAGCACATGTTTGGAGTTGACAGACTATGATGACAAGCTGGATGTTCCGATATGGTAGCTTATGAGCAGCAGATCCTGGCATGGCTAAGGGAGGTAATTCAGTTAGATCAATTGGCTGAAGGTGAGGTAAAATGAGGTTTACTATTAAGTTCAAGGTTATTGCACTTATAAAGAGATATGCATGCCCATGTCTGTGTGGCTGCTTGTACTCGTCCCGACTCATGCTGGTTGTATAGTGCTAGTGCCACTCAGACACAGTATACTGACTCCCAGCCGACCTGTCCTTGTTTTATCCACTCATTGCCGAGTGGTGGGCTGGGTAACAACAACTACCGTCTTTTAACATCTAGTGATTATGACACAGACGGTGATCCATTCTCTGGGAAGACACTCCATTAGACCACAGAGGCCGTCCCCCCAGAGGCCGCCGCCCCTTGAAGGCGGAGCCTGTGCTCATATGGAAACTAATGATGACAAAGGGCATATGAAATGTTTCAATATCAAAATAAAATATATTAAAGCTTTTTAAACTCGACTATTTGAGAAAACTGTAGAACAATTTGTAGCTGACTCAACATCCATTCTTTTCTTGGTAATGATTCTTTTGCAGGACCTTAGAAAATGTGGCAATGATATTCACTGAACATACTTTTCTTTACCAATTATTAGATACTTTACAAAATGTTGTGAATCTGTGTATTGGTCCTACATTCCCTGACTGGGTAACACAACAGGGTATGACCAGTTGCTAGTCCCGTCCTGTGTCAATCCCGGCACATACTGTCTGTCACAAACTGAGGGCAATCTGGGGCAAGCCTATGTCTGCTGACCCCCGCTGTCACATTGTTGGATATTGCTAAAAGCGGCATAAAACTACTCGCGAAATCCCATTCAGGATCTTCCTATAAGTCCTGAAATGCCTCCTAAAAATATACACATCATGAACAAGGTATACACAGCAGTGTCTGAGAAATAATATCTAAACACAAAGGTGAAACAGATTTGTTTTTTAAGTTCACATAAAAAACTAAATTGGTGTGATGCAGTGACTAATTTTCTTTTTTCATTGCAACAAGAATATCTGATGACTTGGGAGGTCTGATGTTTGGAGAAAACACATGCAGACTTAACTACCTCGCCAATATATTGGCGCCAAACACTGAATTTTAAACTTGAGAATTAAATACAAAATATACTTTGTCATCTGTGCTTAAGCAGATTCCTAACCAAACAAACAG